TGGCTGCTTATAACTGCGGCTCGAAAGGGATGAACAGGGTATATGCGACAATGAAACAGTTTTGACTGCTATGCACATGTTCCCTTCAACTCTATTGGTAGACTCTTCCAGCCTCACTTTAAGCTTACTTAATCAAAGCTTGTGGTTGCTTATGGTGTGGCCCGATAGGGGCGAACAGGCTATTTCTGTGGCAATGAAACGGTTTTGAAGGTTAGGCATAGTCTATTGTTCATTGGTGATTATGAACTATGAACGTCTTTTTACGTTTAATTTATGAGGTTTACGTCTATGGGTGAATTTGACTGCGACAATGTTTCAAAATTATGAAGGGAAGCAGTGATTATTTGATTATATAGACGCTTCGCCTCTGAGTGTACATTAAATTATATAGTTACAATTAATGTACATTTCTCCCTCCCCCCCTCTCTTTCTCTCGTCTTTTGTTCCCCCTCCCCACCTCCCCGTTTTAATGCATACTTTCTGAATCGCGGACAGCAACAAAGAGAATTAGGAGGACAGAGGTGGCGACTATCTCCCAATGGAAGGGTTGTCGTTACTCTAAGGTATCGAATCAAAGGAGTGGGGGGTAAATGGGGGGGGGGGGGGATGATAAAAAAGGGGGAGGGAGTGATACATTCAACCTTATACCCTTGTACTAGTAGGAACACATCTGTTTTATTTCTCCTTCAGTCTATAAAAGAACAAGAGATCATGACATTATAGTGAGTTTACTATGTTACTGTGACAACTTTTCTCATTTAAGAACAAACCAGTTTCATTAAAAAGATATAAACGAATGTAATAAAAGAAAAGTATTTTAAAAGAACAGAAAATTGAGGTAGCCAATCCGGTAATACTAATACTGAGTGTAATTAAAAATGCCATTTACAAGAAAGAAAAGAAGTTTCATTCAGATATCTAGATTCTAGATAAAGTGTTTCACATTTCACATGATCGTCGGTCGTGGCAAGCTTGAAAATAATAAACGAATATAAAGAACGAGGGTAAGCTGAAACATTAATAAGTGGCAGAGGGGGGTGGGGGCACTTATTCAATACCTTAGAGTATGCAGTTGTTTTATATATCGCAATTAACTCGCGCTGGCTTGCAGTTGCGTTCTTCTACATTTATTTTTTTTTTACTTAGGAGTCTACTTCTACGGGGATACAGAAACTGAATTAATCCGTAAGGCAAACATACTGATTTGGGAGAAGGATGGAAGTAGTTTTGGATAGGTGAGGGGTGTGGGGTGGAGGATGGAGAGTTTAATTATTTAACGTTGAAAGAAAAGAGGATAGGAAAACTCTTTAATAATTATATAT